ACATTATTAGTTGGACCTTGCAGCTTGTTCATTATTTTTATAATAAATACCTATAAATGTATATATTATTAATAAATAATTCCCATAATATTTTGTATTATTTTTTATTTTGCCCTATCTGCAACGTTCTACGCTCTATAGATACGCTCTAAATGTGGCGTATGAGATGACTGACAATCTCTCGAACATTTTATCTAGGTACAAAGATGTTTTATGTTTTCGTCGCTTCCACATGATATTTTTGTCTGAAACGAATATGAATATTGCTACAAAGTAAAGTAATAGGCTATACAAGTCCCTCTACTGCGCACAGGAGTCTATTTATTTCTGAGAGGGTGTTAGGGCCAGGAAATGCTCGCCGTGCTGCCTCAATGCGTGTTGACGAAAATTGCAATTACAAATTTCATTCGTGCTGCCGGGGATCAAACTCGGGAAAAATTTACAGCGAACGCTTTGACCCAGAGCTATTAATACGACACAAATAAATACGATAATAAAAACATATATAATAAAAACTCTTACGTCCTTGAAACTTGAACACTTGATAGTTCGTGATGCCTACCGGACAAAGCTACAGCACCACACCGTTCAATGTAATTGAAGATGTGTAACCGCGACATAATTATCAGTGATGCGCAAGCATAACAGGCAGTATGTCACTTATATAATTGTCACCACTGCAGTCTATTAATCTTTACACTTTTATAAGTAATACAGAACGAAGTCGCTAGACGGTGTTGACGTCGGCTAAAATCTCTGCGATCGCCGTTTCGTCAAGGTCATTCAGGCTAGTTAAAGCCTTAATAGACAGGAAATGATATTAAATAAGATTTAGATATTATTAAATATCATTTAATTTATCTACATACATGATATTTTATAGCAGTCACCCAAACATAACGCCCACGGCCACGTCCCACGTCTGAACTAGGACTGTCGATAAAATATCGGTATATCGAGAAATCTATTTTATTATTTAGAAATATCGATATTTATTTCTAATATTTTTGGACGACATATATTGAAATATAAGTTTGATATTGAAATATTAGATATACGTCGATATTTTTTTTAAAAAAATTTCTATTTTTTTATTTTTCACGTAAATCATTTAATCTACAATACCATCTACCATCGTAAACTTAAATCCTAATACTCGATGGACCCAATCTACTATACTTTTTTACACCATATTATGTTTTTCATTTTTCCCCAGTTTATTTATTTGCTTATTATCTTAAAAAGAAATGTAATTTTGTATAGTATATATGTATCTCTGTGATATTAAAATCACTATAATCTATGAAACTTTGTACTACTTTACTTACTGTGAGTTTTGGCAGGAACTTGACCATCGACGGATGGTTGCTCCTGTTTTATCGTTTAAATAATCGTTTGAAGTGGATTTTTATCAAATGATGCGATTATGAGTATTAAGTGTTTGCGCATGTGAACTATTAGAGAAAACGACGAAATAAGTGTTTCCATGTTGGTATAGCCTACCGACATGGATAGACAACCGATGGGGAAGAAAGGTTCTCGAGTGGCAGCCTCGTACCGGCAGGCGAAGTGTAGGGCGTCCCCCCACTAGATGGAGTGACGACCTGGTAAGATATGCAGGAAGTCGATGGATGCAGGTGGCTCAGGACCGTGCTTTGTGGCATTCTTTGGGGGAGGCCTATGTTCAGCAGTGGACTTGTGAAGGGCTGTAATGATGATGATAGCCTCAAGTTATTTTGATTGCTTAGGCATCTTATGATTTACTTCCGTGCTATCAGAAATAGCTGTTAAATATTTGATTTCTTCAGCTGCATCCGTAGCATCTGAACGAATTACTTCTACAATCAACCTTATAGTGCCCATTAATCGCAGTATTGAAACAGCTGAACACATAAAACAACGAGTATTTTTGAAAAATCTTACTGAAAAATATTGGTAAACATAATTGTCTTATTTAAATTAAACAATAATTAAAGTTAAAGTTACAGCCTATATACGTCCCAATGCTGGGCACAGGCCTCTAGTCATTTCTGAGAGGATGTTAGGGTAAGGAAACGTCCGCCGCGCTGCCCCAATACGTGTTGGCAAATTTCACGTTTTCGAAATTTTTATTTTATTTCTTAGACATGCAGTTTTCCTCACGGTGTTTTCCTTCATCGCCGAGCACGTGGTAAATCAGCACTTAAAATTGCAATTAACAATTTCATTGATGCCGGCGGGGATCGAACCCGGGTTGCTCGCGTACTGTGATACTTACAGCGAGCGCTAACCATCTGAGCTACCACGGCTCATCAATAATTAATAAGAACTATAACCTAACATTTTCATGCATTTATAATTTAATTTGTTTGATAAATATATTAAATTATAAGCTCTGTAAATCATTTTTAAGCAATAAGCATCGATATATCGCTTATGTTTTCGACATATAAAACTCCGATATTGATATATTTATAATTATCGATATATTGAAAAGCCGATATTTTAAAAATATCAACAGTCCTAGTTTGAACTGATCAGTTGGAATGATCAGTTAAACTGATGTCAGTTTAACTGACCGTGTTTGGGGACCATGAGGCTCATTTGCAGAATATGTACAAAAAGTTTTTGTACCAGTGCAACGACTTTCTTTGTAATTGGTAATAGGCCAACATTTGGTCTTGAAGGTCTACCCCAGACATAAAGCTGTTTTAATGGACAATGGCTGAGGGTTTTAGTAACACTTGGGCCCTTTCGCTGGCAACTTCCATCATCGAAAAGCTTATGGTACGCAATGTCTACAAATACGTATTTGAGCAGGAAACTGCTTCGGTATTACCTACTGAAGTACCGGAAAAAAAATGTGTTTCTAAGACAGCTGAAATTTTGGGAATCGGTATGACCACAGTGTTCAGTGTATTAAAAGAATACAAACAAAACGAGCAATTTAAGTCTCCTGAAAAACTTGGACCGAAACATAATTTCAAGAATAAATTCACGATTTCACCTTAGCGGCTATAAGGCGAAAATTACACCAACTTTTTTATGGCACCCATCATCGCAAAGGTAGCTTTGGTGTTATTTTTTTACATCTTTGCGCGCGGCGCTATGTGTGCGTAAAGCTTGTTATAGATAGAGTGTGCGTGACTGCGTGACGACAACTGTCGCGTCACTATCACACAAATCAAAGCTGCATATTTACACACTCGCCCACACATAGCGTTTTTTTAAGTTCTATTTGACTTTTTTCTATTGCGTAGACTTTCTTACCCATAATCTGTTTAAATTACAGATTCTTAAGGTTGTTAATGATGACCAGATTTACCGAGGAAAATTTTAAAACACTTAAATTTCAAATACGCCACAAAATCAAGAAAAAGCGTGCTAATAGATAGACGCGATATTGTTTCGTGGCGCCAGCGATACCTTCAAAAAATTAAAGACTATCGCAGGGAAGGAAGGTAATTAAAATTTTCTCTATTTTATTTATCTATTCCAGTGTAGGTATTGCATGCCACCGGTGAATCTAATGAGTAATTGTTATTTTTCATTTTCTCGAAGGTCATACACCGAAGAAGCAATGGATTGACCAGACTGTACAATCGTCCCGGCGGGCATTCTTAGAAGGGTTGACAACCGGCTTGAAAGGACCTACAGGAAAAGGCAAACCATATAGGCGGGGAAGAAGGATTTGTAGAAGATAGCTTACTTGTGTTTGAGGCTAAAAAAGAAAAGAAGATTACCGTCAAGAAATGAATGCTGAGTGTTTTGAGGAGTGGTTTAGTGGGGTTTTGCCCAAACTAAAACCTAATTTCGTAGTGGTGATGGATAATGCCTCCTATCACTCCAGAAAGTTAGAATCGCTGCCTACAATGTCTTGGAATAAACCAAGAATACAAGAGTGGATGGCGAGCAAAATATCCCATTCGAGGCACAAATGGTAAAAGCTACTCTTATAGAGATTGTACGGCAGCACAAACATGAACACTGCGACAAGAATGCCGCGGACGACATGGCAGCGGAGCGTGGAGTCACTGTTTTACGTTTGCCCCCTTACTATTGTGAGCTCAATCCCATTGAGCTGATTTGGGGGCAGGCTAAAGGGTATTTTGCAAGAAACAACAAGACCTTCAAAATGAAAGATGTAAAAAAATTTTCAAAGAAGGACTAAATGAAGTTACTACCGAAAAAAGGAGTAAAACATTAAACTATTATCATATATTTTATGCCGCACTCCTGGTTGCAAATTATCATATAAAAATAATATTTATACTTTAGTTACCATAAGCTACTCGTGTCTATTGTTGAAAACTTGGAGTCTTTTTAATATTTAATGTTATATATTATGTAATACTTACATGTAAAATAAAATTTAAAATAATTTTAAAATAATTTTAAATTTTATTTTAGCTTTTTGTGCTTATCATTGCATTTTATGCATTTTGAACGATGGTGCAATATTCGAGCAATCTTTAACTTTTTTTATTTCTAAACTACATGGGTGCAGTTTAAATAATTAATATTTTGATTTGCTATTTGCAATACATCTGTCAGTTTTTAATATATATATATATATATATATATATATATATATATATATATATATATATATATATATATATATATATATATATATTCAAAGGCCATGCCAGTATATTCTATGATATTGAAGTATTTTGTAAACAAAATACACATCAGATTAAATTGTATGATCTAAAAAGACCTTTGCCTGTTTTTATTCGCGAATTGTAGCTATAACAATATCTATGGAATGGCAGTTTGTTGTCATTGGTTGTCATTGTCATTGACATTGACGTTTAACAAGTTTTGTTTCGCACAAATTATAAAGTTGTATTATATTTGTAGTTGTATGTATTGTACAGGATTGTTTCTTTCGGTTACGTTTGTTCCTTATGTATTTTTTGAAGAAAAAAAAAAGCGGAATATCAATAGAGAGTCACTAAATTATTGTAAAATAGACTATGTTCTAGCATAAGCATAACATTGTTTAAAATTTTAATATGGCTGGTAATTTTTGGCAAAGCTCACATCACCAACAATGGATATTAGATAAACAGGACTTAATCCGGGATCGTCAACACGATTTAAATATTTTGACAGAGGAGGAATATCAGAAAATATTTAATTTCTTTGCGAGTATAATCCAAATCCTTGGTGAACAACTGAAGCTACGACAACAAGTAATTGCAACAGCAACAGTTTATTTTAAAAGATTCTATGCGAGGAATTCCTTGAAGTGCATAGATCCATTGCTTTTAGCACCTACATGTGTATTTCTTGCATCGAAGGTCGAAGAATTTGGTGTTATATCTAATTCTAGGTTAATAACTACTTGCCAAACAGTTATCAAAAATAAATTTAGTTATGCTTATGGACAACAAGAGTTTCCATATAGGACTAATCATATTTTAGAATGTGAATTCTATCTCTTAGAGAATCTCGATTGTTGCCTTATTGTATATCAGCCTTATAGACCACTTTTATTGTTTGTACAAGATATAGGACAAGATGAACAGTTATTAACATATGCTTGGAGAATTGTAAATGACTCCTTGAGAACTGATGTCAGTTTGCTTTACCCTCCATATCAGGTAATAAATATTTATGAAATACCTATAAATTTATATTTATTATTTTTAACTTTAATTAAGACTCAGCTATAGAAAGTTAGTAACAATAGTAAAGAGTAAGTATGAAATATTTAGTAATAACACTGCACAATGGATGCTCCTAGCTATCATGTATTTAATTAATTTGTCTTTTAAATGTTTACTACTTCTTGTTTAACTTTTGCAGACATAATCTGGATTATAAATTATTTATTTTGTCGATAACTGCTTTTCGACACTTATTTCCCCTGTAGTAGAATCCCCCCTCCCCCAGAATACCCTTCCTCCTCTGCTGGATTATCATTTTTAGTGCTTCCACAGTCATTCTAGTTAATTTATTTTCCACTTTATGATATGCTGCAATGATAATACATTAAACTTCTTTTCACATGTTTAATTTTGCAGATTGCAATAGGTGCATTACATATAGCATGTGTAATGCTTGGCAAAGAAAATCTAAAACCTTGGTTTGCTGAACTGAATGTTGACATGGATAAGGTACATTTTTTAATGATACTAATATTTTATAGGATATAAGTGTTTCTATTAACAATAACAAATACTTTTTATGTCCACTTTTATAAGGCTTTCCGAAAATGTGGAAGCTTGCAAGCAATTTTCACACGTGGTAGAGCTGTGCTGCAGCTATATTACTGGTATAGTTGTAGCATGAATGAATCGGCTCAACTGGGGAAGGACCAAGGTCTCACAGAATACCAGCATAAAATAGCAGCTTAGCGCTGCTGTGTTTTGTATGGTTAGTGCAGAGAACCAGAGACCCCTTTTACTGGGAACGAGACACTCCATCTTAGTTCTCACAGGTGACAATGCATCTGCATTTTGATTCGTAATCGAGGATAGATGTAGATGTCTATGGGCCACAGCAACCACTTACCATCAGGTGGACTGAGTGCTTGTTTGTCACCCTTTTCCTATAGAAAAAAATTAGGAAGATTTGCACATCTACATAAATATCACCAAACCACATAGAGGTCTTCCACAATAAGCATTTTCTATAGATTTTCCACCATCAATGGTTCACCAGAACTTCATCTACAACTACACCACATTTCCATCACTTACTATTCCAGATGGCTGCTCAATGCCATTGTAAATGCTTTATATAAATAAAAATTACTTCAGATCAAGTTGAATTTTATGTCGACTCCACTGTGAAAGCATATTTTATCATTAAATGAAGGTGCAACAAAATTGTGTAACTGATTTATTATTATTTATTTAGTATAATTTTCAATTCACATTTACATAAAATTTATTTTATACCAAAGAAATACTTTTTTTCAGATTCAGGAAATTGTGAGATCCATTATAAATCTATATGAGATGTGGAAAAGTTATGATGAAAAGAAAGAAATACAAGTATTGTTGGGAAAAATGCCAAAGCCTAAGCCAGCACCCCAAAGATAATATTTTTTTTTGGCTACAATATTATATGACACCAATAAATTTTGTAACATAGCTTTAGTTTTTAAAACTATCTATCTGTAATAATAAGGGAAGTGAAAGGAAAGACAATATACTGTAATAACAAATACATCATTTTTACACTTTAATAGCTCGTAAGCATTTCTTGCATCATCTAAAATCTATATTACTAAATAATCAATCAAAATGAAAAAAAAATATTGTGTATATTTTTTTAAAATTTCATAAGAGGCATAGAGCAGAAGCCAGGGAAACATTTTTTAGAATATTTGTTTCAGTAAAACCTGACTAATCTATTTAAGCCCAACAGTGAGAGGTGTTAATATATACTAATGATGCTTTTACACGGTAGCCACGCTTCAGCGTATTATAGCTGTAGCATAAATGAGTTGGCTTGATTGTGGAAGAACTTCGCACACAGAATAACGGCGTGAAATATCAGCATAGTGTTTTTGTGTTTTCATGACGAGAGCCAGAGACCCCTTTAACTGGTTAAAAGGCTCTATCTTAGTCATCAGGGATGATAATGCATCTCTATTTTTTATTGAGGATATATGTAGGAGTCTATCGATAACAGCATTAACTTATATACCATTAGCTGGTCTGTGCATTTGTTTTTTTTTTTATAAATTAGCAAATAGCCATATGAAAATCAATATCTTTTTTTGGAATTTGTAGTTAGACATATTTTGAAGCAATTTTCTGGAAATATATTTTTCTTTAATAGATAGAATAATCAACCAGCAATCAACAAGGTTTTATTACTTTTTAGATACTAGTCTCTCTCTCTCTCTTTCTCTCTGTCTTTCTCTCTCTCTCTCAACACTTGTCTCTATCACTTTAAATCGAAGTGACAGTAACACCACGAGACTTAGGACATCTTAGCCTTGCGCTGTCCCGTGTACTACATATAGTGCATAGCTGTTGTCTTGCTATTGTGTCTGAAAATCGGACAATGAAAGTGTTAAAAATGAGTAGCGTTTGAGAACTTGGCCATTATTCTTTCTATATAATATGTAAATTTTGAAAAATTGCCCTCAATAAATTTTGAAATCAGAATCCTCCGTTTCAAGTTATTAAAGTATGAGCCAAAGAACAGGCAAAATGGCTAAAAAAACATTTTGCAATATATAATTTAACAGAATTTCAAAAAATACAAATATATTCCAAATTACGCTATAAGTATTTTTAATTAATATTTAGGCTTCAATAGAGCTGATGAAAATATAAAGCGCCAGTGGATTAGTTTTTTTTAAAACTGTAAATGATAATGTAAATTGTAATGCCCTGTTTTTAACGAAAAGACTGTAGTATTTGAAATACATAACTAACATAATGAAATGAGACTATTTTCTTTTACCTTTATGTAATTATTTTCCATGTCTTTTTAAGTTAATGATTACTTATACATTCGTAAATACTATACAATATGTTCGCCACGCTTGTTGACCAACTTTGACACTTAGACGACAATCCAACACGACCGGAGATATCGGGCGTAGGAACATCGGCTTAAGCTTAACACATTCAGTACCACCGACTCGCCCGGAGAGTTCACGTAAATCTTATTCCAGTGCCGACGACTCGTCTGGCGAGTTCAGTGTTTTTCACTAATATTTCCAAAATGCATCCGTATTTTCTGCTTAAAATTATAGTTTAGACTAAATATATGCTAAACTAAAGATTTACGTGGTGGGCCGGGTGTGGAGACTCCGTTTAAATTTGAAAGGAAACAAACTATTCTGCAATGCCTTGAACTCGCTAGGCGAGTTCCCTGACATAGATCCTCAACCATTTACATGTTAGATAACGACGTCAACATAGTACCATGGACTACCTACATACTTGTGATATGGAACTAATATTCACAATAAAAATAATACATACCATATTCTTAAAACTGAAAGCCCGTATTATAATAATAATCGTTTATTTCCAATCAAAAGTAGATAAAGAATGTGTGTGGGCGTGCGTGCGTGTTGTTGTTGTTGTTGTTCTCGAATAAGTTCCTTAAACATTCTATTAACATCAATTTTAAATGTATCGAATTCATCCTCACGCTTCCTTTTGGTACGGTAAGCTGTTCGGCTGGCCATCGGAATCGGAATAAATATTTGGGTCTGAATGGCAGTGTTTGCGATGTAAAGTTGATGGCCGCCGTCGAGATGTAGGTGTCGGTCGCGCTAGTAGCAACAATATTCTGCGGCTGCGAAGTAGACTGCGGTGGCGAGCGAGAAATCATAAAGCGACGTTAAAACAATGTACCAGAGCAATATAAACAATCAGGTATTACGTATTTATTGCAAGCTCCAATGTTTCGTTACTATTTGCTTAGAGGTCAAGCAACTGGTCGTTGATCGAAGATTCTTATACAAAAGGTCTTTCCGTCTTATATCACTTGATCTCTCGTCCTGTGCATACAATATTCATTTATGTTATCCCTGTTTTATTCAATGACGCAATGATTAAGCGTTTTTTTCTCGTTTGAACTATTTATTAATTTGCAAAAAAACTTATAACACTTCAATAATAAGGCTTTTACTCACACAGCTGCATGGGAATTTAGTAGGACTAGTGTTGAGAGTTAGTGAACACTTCTTCACTTTTATGCACTCCTAATTATTTATTTGATTTTGTCGGAATTTAACATAAGTTAACTGTATTTAACTAACTAAACCACACACGTCTGGTCTCTTCGAGAGTCCGAGGGGAAGGATATATATTAAATTATTTCATGGTAAAATTGTCTATTCACAAGTATTAGAAATTCAAAATATAACCTTAACAATAACCACAATTTAAAAGATTGACAACCACTGCCTAAATTACGAAACAAACTACCTTTTATTTTATCCAAAGAGTTTTTTGCCATTTTTACAAGCCGAATAGTCCTGAAACACTTTTTATTTGCGTTAAACACGTTAAGTACACTGTGACGGCCACAAAAATTACAAAACATAGAATTTACCCTTACTTAGTGCCAGTGAACTCGCGTGGCGAGTCGATTCAATTTATATTGCAGTGCCGGCGACTCGCCTGGCGAGTCAACCGTAAAATGTAGACGGCATCCGAGAAGACATCATGAAAATCGTAGTGGTGATGAATGTGTTAACGTACTCTTCGAAGTATGGGGTGAAACACCGCAGCACAAATGGGCCAGCGCAACCGGGGAAGGACCACGCTCTCACAGAATAACAGCGTAAAATAGTAGCTTAATACTGCTGTGTTTCGTATGGTAAGTGTGGAGAACTGGAGACCCTTTATACTGGAAACGAGGCATTCCATCGTAGTCCTCAACCCTAACAACGCATCTGCATTTAGATTCTTAATCGAAGATAAATGTTAATGTCTATGGGCCACAGCATCTACTTAGCCATCAACATCAGGTTCGATACGTGGTAGAGCCATGCTGCAGCTTTTGGTTGTAGCACGAATGGGACGGCTCGACCGGGAAAGGACCACGCTCTCACAGAATACCAGCGTAAAATAGCAGCTTAATACAGCTGTGTTTCGTATGGTGAGTGTAGAGAACCGGAGACCCTTTTTACTGGAAAAGAGACATTCCATCTTACTCCTCACGGGTGACTACGCATCTGCATTTTGATTCGTAAACGAGGATAGATGTAGATTTCTATGGACCACAGCAACCACTTACCATTAGGTGGACTGTGTGCTCGTTTGTCACCCTATCCCATAAAAAAGAAACTACTCGTTTGTCACCCCATTCTATTAAAAAAAACACGAAGCGTCACTCCTAAGCCCACGGTAAAATAAAATATTGAACTGCATTTAATAATTTCGATGGTGCTTGCCGGGATCGAACAAAAATTACTTTCATTTCATAAAAAATTAAGTAGAGGTCTTCACACACTGTCATTGTTCACCTGGGTTAATGGTTAGTACTGCTTTTACGTAGTGATTATATTCTCTTTGAGCTTTTAACTATAAAGTACTTTTTGACGCAGTCTATTCAGTCTTTCAGTCCCCTTGTGACCAAGGGTGTATTTTTCCAATCGAACCGTCAGAATTTTAAAATAAAGTGTATATTGTACATCTCTTTCGCATATAATTTACATATCAAAAAGATTAATTCACATTTCTATACGTGATAGAGCCACGCTGCAGCTATATTATGGTTGTAACATGAATGGGTCGGCTCGATTGAGGTAGGGCCGCGCTCTCACATAATACCAGCTTAAAATAGCAGCATAATGCTGTTGTTTTTCGTATGGTGAGTGTAGAGAACCGGAGACCCTGGAAACGAGCAGAGGCGGATTGAATGTTAACAGCGCGCTAGGCTGGCACCTAATCGGCGCCCACATATGAATAATAAGTACTTATTTTGCATTATAATATAGTTCAGTAGCAAAATAATTAGGACACGTAACAGGTGAGCACGAATGACAGACGCGATGCGATAGTAATCAAGCAAACGGGGCGCGCTTTTGAAGCCCAAAATCTTTAGAGTGTAATATTTTATTTTATGTAAGTTAGTACCACCACTGTGTATTGACTTAATAAGGCTTAGAAGTTATCCTTTTTAATCTCCCCGTGGGTGTCGTAAGAAGCGGCAGTGGAAAACTGAGTCAGGAGATAGGCAGCAACATCTTTTTGATAACAGCAATATTGCAATAAAAACCTGCGGTATACACTGCATTTAAAATTACACTTCGATTTATTTGTTATGTGAACTAAGCGTTGAGTCAAATTTTAAAGATATGACGGCAGAGTAGCGCATTTGGCTGCGGGACAGCAGAGTCGCGGGTACAAATCAAACATGGTACAAGTGTTTATTTGGCTTACGAATAACTGTTTTGAGTCTGAATCATTGTCCACGTGTAATTTATATATGCACAACAGCTACGCGTCTACCTCCAGTCTATTCTGGAGTTGCTATATTTTTTTTTAGAGATTAGTAGGTATTAGCTCTTAGGTAGGTACCCCATACTCCGCTTGCCCAGCGTAGTGACGCTGTATTAACTAACGCTGGGTTAAGCAGACCGATTACTCTCACCGGTAATGTTTCTTTACTGCTTTTAATAAATACAAATAAAGCCGGGAGACTAAGGAGCTAGTCCACGAGATGGTAAGTGGATGCTGTGGCTCATATACCTACATATGTATTTATACTCGATTAATAATCAAAATGCAGATGCGTTGTCACCTTGAGGACTATAGTGAAATGCCTCGCTACCAGCATAGCGGTACTCCGGTTCTGAACGCTTACCATACGAAATACAGTAATTATGCACTACTGTTTTACGTAGGTATTATGTGAGAGTGTGGTATTTCCCCGGTCGACAAACCGCTTTACCATCAGTCTTAGCAATAGGTTGCTACCACTCAGGGCCACTAAAGCCAAAGTGCTGCCCCCGTAGTCACACTCCCCTCATTCTCGAAGTAAAACACTTATAGTTTTTATACATTAAACAATGTAATGTAAGTATATCTTTCTATTTATCCCTCATTATTTTCTATAAGTGGAGATGTTTGAACATTGGATTTGTATCAAACATTTTTATAGAAATTTAATTGGCACTAACGTTGATATTAATGGATACCACTGTCTGTCGATAAAAGTGTAGGTTACACGTACATCCAGTTGAGATACACGGTAATGTAGAAACGATTGACACTTAATATTACTCCTTACCTCAAACCAAACAACGTCTATGTCCCATGTGACTCAATACCTGGTTAAAGAAAACTACAACTTACATATGACGAGGTAACGACTTATTGTATAAGTGGCCCAACCAAAACAATATCTTGTTCATCAAAACATTTTCCAGTCATATAACTGAGTGTTGTGCATCATTTTTGTTTCGGAGAGACAGTTTTGAAAATTCATATCTATTTTAACTAATGACCACAAAATTTACATAATTAAGTAACATTTGTATGTAAGTATCTTCTTTCATCAAATAAAAATTATGAGGTGTAAGGGAAAAATATACTTTTTATCCAAATGTCAATCTCACATGCAAGTAGTGCACCCGAAGCTCTGGTGACTGACTGATGGAAGGAAACCCATCTATCTTAAAACCCCATAAACTGGTGGTGAGGAACAACACCATATCAGTCAGAGGGCCTTGCCTTGCTGCGTAATATGAATGGGTATTTCAATCAATAAATATGTCTAATGGCGCTTTCATGGGTCGAATGGTAGGTCGGAAGGTCTATGTCCAGCAATGGGCTTAAGAACGGCTGAAATCGAAGAAAATTAAATGTGTGTACGTTTAAATCATTGTCATTACAGTAGTCCAAAAGTACACTTTATTGTTTTATTGATAAAAATAAACTTACCAGAACATCACAGAAATAATTCGTTCAAATTTGTTGGGAACACTAAGCTCGAAGTTGTTGACGAGTATGTTCACCTGGGACAAATAGTCCGACTAGGTAAGTCCAACTTCGACCGAGAGGTCAATCGACGGATTCAACTCGGTTGGGCAGCGTTCGGGAAATTACGGCACATCTTCTCGTCAGGTATACTTCAAAACTTGAAAACGAGACTGTACACCCAGTGCGTGTTGCCAGTGATGACATGGAACTGAGACGTGGTCCTTCACTGCTCAGCTCAGCGCTCAGCGAGCTATGGAGAGGGCTATGCTCGGAGTTTCTCTGCGTGATAAACTCAGAAATGAGGATATCCGCAGTAGAACCTGAGTGACCGACATAGCCCAACGGATTAGTAAGCTGAAGTGGCAATGGGCCGGCCATATAGCTCGAAGAACCGACAACCGATGGGGAAGAAAGGTTCTCGAGTGGCAGCCTCGTACCGGCAGGCGAAGTGTAGGGCGTCCCCCCACGAGACGGAGTGACGACCTGGTAAGATATGCAGGAAGTGGATGGATGCAGGTGGCTCAGGACCGTGCTTTGTGGTATTCTTTGGGGGAGGCCTATGTTCAGCAGTGGACTTGTGAAGGGCTGTAATGATGACTACGGTGCGATCAAAGAATAAAACGAAAGGTGTTATGATATTTATCTTGTAACATGGTTACCCCACACTTTGTTCCGTATATAAATTTACCACTGTTTGCAATCTTCCCTATTGTTCCACCGCTGCTTTCACGAATACCACAAAAGTAAAATGACTACAATTATTCCTATCAGTCAAATTTTAATAGCTTTACTTTTGTCAATAAATGTAGTTCTTGGTGATGGCGCTACGAAAAGGTAATCATTTTTAAGTTTGTTACTATTTAGGCTAAGTTGGTGACCTATGGACCTTTTCCGTTGAAAGAGTATTTGCCTTAATCTTGACGCCTGGTAGGCGGACTAACTATCTAATTTTTATATTTTTTGAACCCAATGTTTGGAAACGTTCGATAATACGATTAGTTTGCTGTTACTTAGACATTACCCACCCCTCGTGGATTTCAGGCGTGAAGCTATATGTTTATATACTACATTACATATGCAGAGTAGTTCGGGTATTATTACATTTTTAAAACGTAGCGATGCCTCACACTGTTAACGCTGCTGCCAGTCGCCGGTAAGATTATTTCACGTCTGGTTTCAGGTCTTTCCTACATATGCCATAGTTGCCTTTTACGACACCCAAGAGACAAAATGGGATGGTGGTTTGTCTTACGCCGCCTCTGTAGAATAAATGTCGACAATACTTTTTATACATACTGGTAACTTTTATTTAATATAAATTATAGCTTGTGTATGGCAACTATCACGTTCGAGTCACGGTAAAGTAAGCTAGTGCTCGTAAATAAAATAACTTCACGAATTCAAATACCCTTCCATCAGCCACTACACGGAAAGGTAATATTTATGTATAGACTTAAGGTGAAAGCTCCAGAGTGGCCCGCGAAATTCAAATTTTCTTGCGTTTTTTGGAATTTGCAGGTCAGGGTCAGGTTGAATGTTTAATAAAATATGATTCGCAACCGCAACGAGTATGTGTCACCAATACAACCCTTTTAAGTTCATATAATCCCTTTGAATGAGTTTTTCTGGAAATAGCCATACATTGGAATTAGACGGTTGTATTGATGATTATAATTCTGTAAATACATACTCGTTACGGTCGCGAATCATATTTGGCTACTCCAGCCCATGGACAACTGCAAAAATTTCAACCAAAGAAAACTAAAGATGTGTTGTCTCATCTGTGGACCAAGATTAGTCATTCTACACTATGACCAACATGGAACGCCTGTATTTATCCTGGTTCTTTCTCTATACTCTTTCAACCGGAACACAGCAGCTTTCGTCATCTACTACTGAAAAATGATCGTTTATTTATAGAAGAGGAGGCAAACGAGCATGCGGCTCATCTGATGGTGACTACCGCCGCCCATGAACAACCGCAACACCAGGGGAATTGCAGATGCGTTGCCGGCCTTTTAGAAAGGTGTAAGCTCTTTTCTTGAAGGTCTATCTTCTTCATCTTCTTTCATTCTATGAGATACTCACCGTATACACCACGTTGTGCAGTAAGGTTGTCGGTAACAGTATGACACGTGTTGTACGTAAGACACTGCTCCCCGTCGCGGGCTCGTTGGTATTTATCTACGAGACGATTATGCTGCCATCTATACGCGGCCATTATATCTTATTGTTAATTCTCAAACTCGTCACTTACAATATTCTTTTTAAGAAAGAGAAACACATTTAATTGTTGTTATTATCATTTTTGATGCATATTATTTTCATCTACATTTTAATCTTTACTTGAATTGATTTAGCGTAACAAACCTCGATGAAAAAGGGAACTGCACTTGCGGCGGTTTCTCTACGGATAAGATAACGTCGGGTAACGAGCCACTGTTGTCCCAAGCACCCGGATTAATAGTAAAGTGTAATCAGGAGGGAGAAGCGGCTTGCAAGAGCTTATGCATCGCACTTGCCAACGTCACGAAGGCCAAAGGGCCGGAGATACTCTGTAATAGACTCAAAGACGCTAATGAACTGAAGGTATTTACTTGATAGATACATTTTTGCTATGTAAATTAATTACTTTATTATAATTAACAATCTGGCTTTTTTATTAATTAACTAGTTTTTAACCACGTCTTCGTCCGCGTAGAAATTTAACAAATACCTGCATATCTATAATAGTGGTCTCGAAAAGTATGTGAAATGTTTACGTGGTAGAGCCATGCTGCAGCTATATATATATATAAGGTCAGTTAGGGTAAGAGGAACATAGTTTATTTTGAACCCGAGGTTTTGACCTCTAGGAAGAACATATAATGTTTTATTAGAATTTTGAGATACTTTAAACTTGCCTTAGTTTATCAGCTTTCCATGTTTTAAGAATCATAACGCTAATTTGAAAACTTACGACAGTATCGGCCTAAACATTCAACTTGTGCTAACGTTCCTCTTCCCCCTCATCTGGGGTAAGAGGAACATTCATCGTATCTCCTAAGATTGTGATGTTTATTTAAATGTACCTGTTGCTACATTTTAAGTAAAATTTATTTAATAGAATTTGATCGTAACGTAATTGTAACAATGTACAGTTATGAAGAAAAAGGAAATAATAAATTTAAGGTCAGAGAAACATATATTTATAAACATAGGTTCAGGGCAGGGGTCACAAACTAAAAAAATAATCGTTTGTATTTCAAATTAATCCATTTCTCGTGTAGTACCTGACCATCACATTGTGGTAAATTGTATAATTTATTTCCTTACGGCCTTCCTTCTCTATTTTCTCATCCCAGTTGCTATCAACTGCTTCTGCCACCATTTTCCTTCCTTCTGATTCATTAACTACATCTGTCGCCTTTTTTCTTCCATCTGTTATATTACTAACTAGGTGTTCTCCGCGATTTCACGCGCGTGCAATTTAGGGTTTTAATTTTTTCCAAGGAACCCTAATTATTTTTCTGTAATAAAAGTAGTCTAAGTTACTCCTTATGACATCTGCTATACGCCAGTGAAACTCCCGCCAAAATCGGTCCAGCCGTTTCGGAGATTAGCCGGAACAAACAGACAGACAGATAGACAGATAAAAATTTGAAAGTGTATTTTTGTTATAAGTACCATTTATACTTTGCATCATTTAGTAAAGCGCTGTTATTGTGGACATATGTGGAATAAACACTTCAATTTAATTATTTGTAAGATAACTGACTCTGCCTCTATTGTCCTTATTTCAGATCCACTAACAGTCTCTGTTGCTTCATTTTTTCATCTGTAATGTTATTATTTTCAAGGTCTGGAATAAAGTTTATGTAATCTAAATCTCTATAATATCAAAGTCTTCCTCAAGTAAGTCTGAGTCCTCATCAATGAAGTCTACAATATCAGAATCATCATGCAAGCTGATGCAATTGGATACGCTGGTAGATGAAGATCATTTTCTGTATTTTTTCTTTGCAGGAAATTTCACATTTTTCATATTTTCCTTCAAACTTACTTGACTTTTTTCCAGTGCCCTTACCCTTTTTAGAATTTATAATTGACATTTTATTATTTTTGTTTATTGCTGTTTCAAATTTGTTTACTAAAATTACATTTTGTCTTTGTTATTTAAAACTATTAAAACACCATAATGTTTATCACCCCTGATATCGGCGAAGAGGAACATACTGTTTCTCTTACCCTGTAAGTGCCGTTTCTCTTACCCCAACAATGTTTTTGGAGGTAAAGATTTTAAATTCGATGAAACTTATATTATTTGTAGGGTTTAATCTAAAATATGAAACAAAAAGTAAAGCTTACCCTTTTGTATTACAATTTTTTCATTGAAATAATCTCTAACAGTAAAATTTTCACAATTTTAACGCGAATAAAAGTTATATAGCCAACTCGTGTTCTTAGACTTTATAACTGTCAAATTGTTTTTTTGTTTTTTTCGGCTTTGGAACATCGTAGCGACATATTTTAGCAACAGTTTGTTTTTTTTACTTTACTTATTTATCTACTAATATACCATACAGCTAAACTCTATAGTTTATGAGTTATGGTGTTGAGTTCCTCTTTCACCGGTGTTCCTCTTACCCTAATTGACCTTATATATATATATATGTTGTCACCCGAGGGGACTAAGATGGAAAGCCTCTTTTACAGTAAAAAGTTTCTCCGGTTCTCTACACTCACCATACGAAATTCTGTGAGAGCGTGGTCCTTCCCCGGTCGAACCGACCCATGCTTGCTACAACTATACCACTAATATAGCTGCAGCATGGCTCTACCACGTATAAAGTCTCCTTTATTAGCCTGGCATATAGTATGACCAAATCTTTTAAATTCTAAACTTCTCTTCAAGCTGTAAACTGCTTAAACACTAATGTGTTAAAGATGGCAGCAGTGTAGATGGGCAGCTGAAGAAAGAAAAGAAATAAAATATCCACAAATTAAGCTTCTTCTTGTTTTTGACTACTTTTATAATTGTTAAATCGATTTTTTTCTAATCTTTATTTCCAGTTATCAGCATTTTTCAAAGTGTGCGACAATCCGTGGATATACGCAAACATGACAGCGGATGAACCACTTTGCTGTGACAACACCAAAGTCAAGCCTTGCGCTTCTACGCAGAAAGAAACCTCCACTGTTGTCGTGGATGCTAAGACTGTTATGTGAGAAATGAAAAGTCGCACTCTGTTACGACGGAAATCACGGAATACTTATTTACTTATAACTATAGCATTAGAATGGATTTTGAAATAATATATTTTTGTGTATGAATAAAAAGATAAAGAATTTACAAACACGTTGTATAGTTCATTTCATCCTTATATAATATAGTTTATACCTTGGAAAAAAAGGCAAGGTATTCGTTTTAATGTTTTAAAATGTTACCCCGTCACTAAGATGAAATTTCGTATTGGAGTAGTTCTACATATCTCTATATACTGGGTGGCGATTAGGTTATCATATTAAATATCACAGCGGTAAATACAACTTCATATACGTCTGGTAAAATAAAAAAACAAAGAATTCTACAAAAAATAAAAAATGCATCTTTCAAACAAAATAAATGGCGTAAAAATTGACACAAAATAAATCACCTTGATAATATTAGTTTACTGACCTGAAGTGACCTGTAAAAGCGGCAACGGTGCGGCAGGTGCGCAGTGCTCAGGCAGCATCGTACATAGGTAATTTGCCTTTTTTAGTTGTGGTATGTTCAAAGAACGTTATATAGGATAAGTCTTTTCATTTAATGTGATAACTTTATCGCCAGCCCGTATAAAAATTAATTGCTGTTCGTTATTCTCGCTAAAACTTAAAAACGACTCGATCTATTTTGATGATTACTTTTATGTTTGTTTGCGTGGGTCCCTGGGAGGTTCAAATTAACAATTGGACCCGGTAGCGGTGTTGTCGAAATCCAAAATTCAACTTATTTTTTTTTTTTATGTTTAGATATTTTGTGATTGGTAATGTCAATATATATAAAAAACAGATGCTCCAAACACGTCTGTATTAATAGCCCTTTTATTAATAAAAATATGATTCCATGCATATATTTGTTTTCTTCTTGAATAGTTGGCATAACATAATGTTAATACTTACCGCAGAGCTGTTAATTCTAGCCCCGTTGATGGGGTAAGAATTAACAACTGACTTTTTTGAGAAATAATGTTCTATTTAAGACATCACTTATTTTATGTTTTAGTTATGTTAATAACATGATACTTGAATAGTTAAAGCATCATGTCACATTAAAATGAAGTCTTAATATTTAATAATTTCGAAGGTACAACTAAAAATGCAAATTTTGTTAATTGTGGCCCCGGTCTCCCCTACTTTATTTTAATATGAATTGTTTTCGGTTGAATTTGTTGTACCCTCAAGGAGGCAAGACGCGAATTTAACTGCATGCCCATTTCTAGATACGCTACTGACATTATAAAATGAAAACAATCATATTGATCAAACTTGTTATCCTATAGCTATCATAGATCCAATTGGATCCAACCAACGAATACAGAAAAAAAAACTATGAGCACTAATTTTTACTTAGGCAAAGTCAAAGACATTAATTTCATAGTTATAAATAAAGCCAGTTTATAAAACCACACCTGTATAAAACATTAACATTTAAGATGCTAAAAGCATTTCTTACCAAATGAGTCACTTGTTTTGTATGAAACCTAAATATCGTTTGAACAGTCTAAATGTAGACATAAAATTCCTGGTATAAATCAAGGTATAAAATGTATCCATCTAGGTATATTTAAACAATATAAAAATTATCATTATATATTTGATAATAACTCACTTTATTACATATGCCGTGAAGTTTATTTTACATTGTAAATGCAAGACTTTTAGGCGAACTACAATCACAAATACTTTGCTTCACCGCGCGAAAACCTCGAATCTAAATTTTGTGCCTTCTTGATGATCGACTTCTTTTGTGCTTCATCAAAGCGGTTAACTTGCAAGTCCACGTCACGACTGAACGGTCGACGTTCTGGCTTATCATCTTCTTTGTCCTCTTTCTGTAATCAAACGTAATTCACTTATTTTTTATAATTTCATCATGCGTACAGAAAAGGAGTGGAATAAGTGGCCAGCATGTCTTTCCATCCGATTACAGTGTAAGTGTCTTCAAGGCCAGAGCGAATAGGCTTTTGTTAAGTCAGTGCGCTTCACCATCTTAGGCTACATCACCACTTACCATCAGGTGGGATTGTAGTTAAGTGCTGGTTTAGTAGAATATAAAAAAAATCATTCGACGTGTAAAGAGTAAAGGAAGTTAGTGAAATAAGAGAATACATCAACATATTATTTAGTCCTGTTAGTGTCGTAAAACCGACGGAAGAAATTAAACGGTAAATACCCGGCCTAACAATTCCCGCCGAATCACAGCACAGCGTTAGCAGTATTTATGATGTACAGCGACTTCTACAGTAACCCTAATCAATCCCCATAAAACTACAATATTTATAAATCTTCCGAACTCTAAAAAAATTGTGGGAAAAAGCTTCTTTGTATTTTGTTAGTATAAAATTGAAGAAAAATTTCTTTGGTTGTACTGTTTGTATTTGGCTGATTTTAATATCAACACATATAGGACAATAAGAAAAAGAAAAATAAAAAGTAAAAAAAAAACACTTTCCCGCCATTCAATTGTTTTTCTCTCCGCCAAAATGAGTGAATCTAACGAATAAATTCGATACATTCTGAGGTTTTATTACAAAAAAGGGACAAATACGACTGAAGTCGCGAAAAAAAATTTTAGACGTTTATGGACCTAATATCGTACCTATCACTAAGAGTAGCACAAAGTTGGTTCAAGCGTTTTCAGTCTGGGAATTTTGATGTCAAAGATGTAGTTCACTCTGGTCGCCATCATACAGATAAATTCGATGCCATTTTTGAAAAAGTGGAAGCAAGATAGGCATATTAGTAGTTACGGCATAGCCAAGGAATTGAGGATTGACCACAAAACAGTTTTAACCCATTTGAAAAAGTCTGGCTATAAACAAAAGCTCGATATTTGGATACCACACGTGCTCACTAAAAGAAACCACCATCGTGTACTCATTTGCGATTTTCTATTAAAACTTAATAAAACCGAATCATTTTTGAAAAGATTGATCACTAACAATGAAAAGTGGATCACCTACGACAAGAAATTGCGAAAAAGATCATGGTCAAAGGTTAGCCAAGCTCCACAGACTGTAGCGAAACCTGGATTAACACGCAATAAAATGACACTGTGTGTATGGTGGGATTGGAAGGCATCGTTTATTATGAGCTTTTACATCGATTCGGATCTCTACTACCATCAACTAATGAGACCAAGCAAAAAACGTCAATCAACGTTGATCAACAGAAAAGAAGTAGTTTTACATCACTATAACGTCAGACCACACACATCTTTGGCCACTCAGCAATAATTGAGAACAATAACAACAATTTCTGTTGCGGTACATATTATATCAAATGAATAAAGTACATTCTATACAGAAAAAAAAATATATTTTAGATATATAACGTATTTTTAAGTTACCCGTGGACCTGCCAAGCATGGTAACTATGGCAAAATACAGCCTGTGACGACCTATGAAGGTCATTAATAAAAAAGACTGATCATTCTTCTACTTAATTGGGTATATATTCAACAAACACATTATTTAAAATAGCAATATATCCTTGCCCGATGACATCAGAAAAGCTCCCAATAATAAATTTATTTTTAAAAAGTAAATGCGTAATCATCTATTAAAGACAACTTTTCGTACTTGAATCATCCATGTCATTTATATGTATTGTTAACAGTCGTATATACCTATGTATGTATGTATATATTTGTATATATGTATAAATAGGAGATATTTTTACAGTTTATTTATTTTATGTATTAGTAAAATGTTAATTATCATTTTTATTTTGTTTTTATTCTATATTGCTACACCTACGTCAAATTCTCACAACTCCATGGGTTGACTGGTAGAGAATGCCTCAAGGGATAAAGTCCGCTCTTTGTATTATTTTATATTAAGGAATGCAATAAAGAATAAATAAATATAATTGTAATGTACCTCTGTTGTTGAATTCGAAGCGTGTTACGAGTGTACATAACAAAATATGAACAAGTGTTTCTATGTTTACTTGTGCGATTTACCATATCCATTATACCGTGTACCGTACATGCTGACGTTTCACAAGCGAAATTTTAATTTAAATAAAAAATAAAAAATTTCATTTGATACCCTACGTGGACGAAAAAAGTGATTATGATTGCAGTCTATCGATGTGGTCCCACGACATAACTTCATCAGCAGCTACAGCTCGCAAAGCGGTCACTTCTTGGTATGGGTATTCCTGCATTCATTAATTATGGGAAATCTTCCCTGAGCTATGGGTCTCCCACAGGATTTGCAATTCGTTAAGCTTGGCTAGCTGGATTGGCGATAGCAATACGTTGTATCAACGTCTATCCTGGTTTGGACGCATCTTCATATCAAATTAAAAAAAAATGAAATTTACAACTGAGTTGTATACTTTGTATAATCCTTGAATATACAAAACAGGTGTTTTTTGATGCAATAGCTTTTAATTATGAAATTGAGTGTTTGAGAATAACTATAATAATTTTAAAGATGTTATGGGCTAGGTTCACAATGGTGGCGATTGCAAGCGATCTGATACCAAAGGTTGCGATTGCAAGCAAGCTGATAACCGCGAGGATGAGTTTCTTGTTTTATTATAATAGTTAGTAACAATAATTATTATTTAGCTCAGAAGGCTCTTAATATCTTAATATTGAATATTTAAAGCAATAGTAGCCTAAGACCTACCGCTGCATATAACTGTTAAATCGCATTAGTGCTTAATTCATTTCTACATAGTATAAAACAAAGTCGCTTCCCGCCGTCTATACGCTTAGATCCTCTACGCAAGGGATTTTGATGCGGTTTTCATCTATAGACAGAATGATCCAAGAGGAAGGTTTATATGTATAATACATGCATATTATATATTATATAGTAGTTCTTCTGCCTGGTGTGCATGTGAGTGAACTCCTCCTAAACGGCTGGACCGATTTTGATGAAATTTTGTGTGTGTGTGTGATTAAGTTGATTAGAGTATGGTTAAGATTCACAATTAGGCACGGTAGGTGGCGTTGTTGTCGAGATCCAAAAATCAATCGTGCGAAGCCGGGGTGTATCGGTAGTAATAATTAAAATAAGAAATGAAGGTACTCATATGTCGTTTCAACGGTGCTAGTGCAAAGCTAATTATTCACAGATCGACTGTTTAGTCGATCCGTGAATAATCGCGAGCAAACACATCGCTACACCTGATGGTGAGTGGCTACTGCAGTTCATGGACACCTGTAGCCAACTTCAAACAAAGAAGGTTACAGATGCGTTGAGGTCAACTCCGAGGACAAAGTTGGAATGCCTCGCAGCCTCAGGCTGTATAATAACAGGCTACTGGCTCCATGTAACTTTCAGAACGGAAACACAGTAGTGCTACTATCTGGCGGCAGAAATATGTAAAAGGGGTGGGTACTCAGACCTACTACCTAGTGTAATGTAACTTAATTTCTTTTCATACCTTTTTCTTCTTTTTCAATTTCTTTTGGTGCATCTCTAGTAGACTTTCATCTCGTTTGTGCTTTTTCTTGTGTCTTCTGCAACATAACAACATATTATGTCATTAAAAAAATTACATTACAAGTTACATTATTCGTGCAAATTGTATGTATGTACATATATATCAAAGACATTTAAGTAGTAGTAATAGACCGGACATCCGCAATAAAATGTTCACCTCTTACTTGTGTCCTATAGGATATATTTCGGATTTGTGTCATTTAGTCTTAGTGTCAAAATGTCAAGACGCATGCGTTTCCTAAATTTAAAAAATATTTTTTCAAGAAAATATGCTCGATTGTGCATTAAGGTATTGTAAATCCCGATACGTAGCAAAAACTGAATATGATTTCGGTTTATTATTGCAAGTATAATGTATAATTAACCAATAATTTTTAAATTTTATTATTTCTGGTAGATTGTTCTAGAACATTTATCATTATAGTAGTAAGCACCCTCTGTTATCTTGAGGTGGAGAATCTGGTTCGAAAAGCATACCAGTCTCTACATGCTCTCATTGAAGGGAACCTAGTGCAGACATTCATCGACGGCATCTGCTACCTTGAAGTCAGAGCTGCTGTGAGGCTCGGGCACCACGAGATGCTTAAGGACGCCTTGACCCATGCACTGGAGATGGAAGCCGTGCGGCAGGATTCCCATCGCGTCAGGGAGGTTGCAGCGGCTACAATTCGCGACCGCAATAAAGGATACAGCCCTAAGTGCTACGGGAAAGGGGTCATCTTCGATCCAGCTGCTCTAAGCGAACTGTATAGAAAGGGAAGGTGATCGATCTCAAGAGGGTAGTGCGGCTAACAGCACCGCCCAGTGCAGCGCAAAATCTTGACTTGAAAGACCTTGTCCTGAAAATTGCAATCATTGTACTAGGCAAGAGGGTGTTAAGATGTTTCTACAGTAGAAGATTCTGGAAATATCTGAGGCCCTATATAAGGCCGGTATAGACCGCGACCGGAGTCAGTGTTGAGTTGGCGATACAAGCAAATACTTCGAAGCGATACAACTGCAAACTAAAGTGATCAGTAGTACAATTGTGTTTTGTTATTAGTGTGGTTTTAGTTGTAATTAGTGTTTTGTAATTAAAGTGTCAATTTTGGTAACTCACTCGGCAGTTTTTAATTGTCTTGAACCCCTAGCTCGTAACAGTATGATGAATAAATGAGGAAAGAGTGATATTGTTGGGGCAGAAGTAAGTAGCAATCGATTGAATGTGAATCGACTGAAGAGGCGATATAATAAAGATGGGCCAAATAAAAGGCACCCTTAACCGACGAGCATGTATGCGTAGATATATGGATGTGAAGAAAGCGAGAGAGGTGTATCATAATCATGTCAAATGGAAGCCTGTAGTCTCTGTTCACCCTTCTGGGGACAGAGGAACGTGCCTCCACGAAGGACTGTTTTTAGCCACATGGATTAATCATTTTTTAAATATCTCCATTCCATTCGGAGGGGGGATATTCTATATTGGTCAGAAAACTATTTTTGAGTAAAAAAATAGTTAAAACTATTTTTGAAAAAGATTGTCGGTTTTTGCAGTCAAATGACTCACCCATTACATCAGCTTTCTAACCTTTTACTTTTTTGCGTCGATCCTTCTAGAAGATATTCTCATCAAGAGATCTTTATTTTTTACTGAGCAACTTTGGGCTTTCTTTTGCAGCTGGCAGTGAAGTGCCACATTTCGGTTCCAAAGGGCCATTGCGTTATTTAATAATTTCCTAATATACACATTACTTTTAGCATATTCTTACATGTTTAGACTAAGCCAATATAATTATAGGACGAAAAGGAGGAGGTTCTCAATTTGACTGTTATTTTTGTATGCATGCGTCACACGGACGTATATAGGCTGTAACTTTAACTTTGACCCTCACCAGTCCACTTCCGAATATGCTAACTGAATATAAGCCTACCCCAATTAATGTTATAAAACACTGCGCAGAGCCACATGCTTCTATCAACTTCCCGTACATGTCATGTCTTACCAGACCGTCACTCAGTCTGGTGGGGGTCAAATAAACAATAAATCATCTATATCTGTATGTGAATTTAAAAAAAATCTACTATTTTTTTTTAATATTTCCGCATATCCACCATTACATGCGTTCTTGATATTTTTTCTAACAGATTCGGGTAAAGGTACTTATTATGAATATAAATTTGAAGAAAAATTTCACCCCTAAGTATAGAAAAATGGGGGATGAAATTTTTAATGTAATTATTTATATGACATTCTAGGGTCAAAAAATTAAACTTTAAATAAATACATAAACAAACACACAGTTGAATTAATATTCGGCTCCTTTTTCTGAAGTCAGTTAAAAAGTAAACGTCGACCTGACAGAATGTCTGTCCACTGAGTCAAAGCTGTAATGTGGCATGTGGCAGCAGTACTCAACAATCGGACTTGCACTTTGTATGATCTTAAAAGCTGTCCCTGCATGAAGTTGTTTGCTGGTGAATTGCAGAAGATACTTACGAGCAGGTGAAAGGTAAGCTCATGTTACTATAATGTTAAATAAAAACCAGCAAGAAACCCAGCGGGCCTTTCTTTTATAGTAAATTTTACATGAAAGGTTGTACAAACTATTTACACAATTTATTTTAGAAACAGCTTGGAAGCCACCACCTCATTCCCAGGAGTTATTATAAACCTTGTATTAATTTATATTATAATAACCCTTTTTATACAGTTTTTGTTTAATAAAATATTTAAACTTGGTAATAGAGAGACCTTGTACATTTTCTGGGACTTTGTTGTAATATCATATATACATTGTCCCCGGGAATGAATTAGAGAAACTGGTATCACTAGCCTGTGTTTGTTCCCAGGGTTTACAGAGTGTACGTCACTTTTTTTACTAGAACTACCTTTGTTTTTGTGAACATACCTACATTAAATTTTCGTAAATATACTGAGAGGCTAACGTTAATATATTTATTTCTTAAAAATTTTCTCTAAAACCATCGATATAAGTATATGTACTACGCACTAGATTTCGCATTCCGAACATTGACTGTGTTCAACTGAATTGTACTGCAATCCGTACACTAAACTAAATATTGCGTAAATTGAAGATTTCTGAATTCCATAACATAATTATTATTACATTTTATTTAGAAATATATTTGTTTAGATTAAAGTAAGAGTATTTTATATTAAATTCTTATATTTATTTTATATTAATAACTTAATTTATATTAAAGTCTTATGCCGTGTAGTGGCGGTCAAGAATATCCACTACCCCATATCCTCCCGTGGGTGTCGTAAAAGGCGACAAAGGGAAACAGGCAGAAGATGGGCAGCAGCATCTTCCTGATAATAGCCAAAACTATAATAAAAAAACTGCGGTTGCCAACCCGCTCGCCAAGCGTGGCAACTATGGCAAATACCCCCCAATGACTAAAGCAACAAACAGACGGCCCCCAGTCCCCGGAGGCCCCGCTATTCCTGGCTACGGTGGCGACCATGGTAACGGCGGGGCAGGGGGTGCTAAGAATCTCCGGTGGAGGTTCGGTTGCCACCTTAGACGACTCGACCTGGCAACGTACAACGCACGCACCCTGAGGACTGACGAGAAGATCGTGGAGCTGGAAGAAGAGATAGACAAGTTGCGCTGGCATATTATAGGATTATCCGAAGTCCGAAGAGAGGGGGAGGACACGGTAATCCTCGAATCCGGCAACTTGCTCTATCACCGGGAGGGCGACCATCTGTCCCAAGGAGGTGTCGGATTTATCGTCCACAAGTCTCTCGTTAACAACGTTGTAAAGATCGGGAGTGTGTCGACGAGGGTTGCGTACCTTATACTCAGAATCACCAAACGGTATTCGCTGAAGGTCATACAGGTTTACGCACCAACCTCGGCACACCCCGATCAGGAGGTGGAGGAAATGTATGAGGATATCTCTAGAGCCATGCGTTCCTCCAAAACCCAATATACGGTGTTAATGGGAGACTTCAATGCAAAACTAGGCACAAGAGAGAACGGTGAGCTGAAAGTAGGGAAATTTGGAATAGGGCAACGGAACCCAAGGGGCCAGCAGCTGGCCGACTTCATGGAGAAAGAGGGACTCTTTATGATGAACTCTTTCTTCCAGAAGCGGCCCCACAGGAAGTGGACATGGTCGAGCCCCGACGGTTCGACAAAAAATGAGATTGACTTCATTATGACGACCAGACGACAACTGTTCAGTGATGTCTCCGTGATCGCAAGGGTGAAAACTGGTAGCGATCACCGAATGGTTAGAGGCACACTGAACCTAAACGTTAAGTTGGAGAGGTCTCGTCTAATGAAGTCAACGCTCCGTCCCCCTCGTGCTCTAATCCAAAGTCCCGAAACCTTTCAGCTCGAGTTACAAAACCGTTTTCAGTGCCTAGAAGACTGCAATGAAGTGGACGATATGAATGACAAGCTCGTGGAAACTGTCCATGCGGTCGGAGCTAAGTTCTGCAAGACCCGCCGCAGAAGAACACAAAAACTCTCCGATCACACTCTTAATCTCATGGCTGTTAGACGGGAGATGAAGCTACATTCTTCAACAGACTTGACAGCATACAGGCATCTGAACAGACAGATCTCCAAATGCATGCGGCGGGACTTACGCAACTTCAATACAGCTCGTATTGAAGAAGCGATCGAGCGGAACCAAGGCTCCAAAGTCTTTGCCAGAGATCTGTCTGCCAGAAAGAGCCAACTGTCAAAGCTGAAGACAGAATGTGGCAGCATCGTTTCCGGGACACCTGAGATTTTGAGTGAGATTGAGAGGTTCTATGGGCAGCTGTACACGTCATCGTTGGAGCCACACGCAAGTGTGAGTAACGATCCAAGAGCGAGTCTCATCCGACACTATTCCGAAGATATCCCGGACGTCAGTCTGAGCGAGATTAGAATGGCTCTCCAGCACCTTAAAAACGGTAAGGCCCCAGGCGAGGATGGAATTACAGCGGAGCTTCTGAAAGCGGGTGGAAGACTGGTACTTGAAGTCCTTCAGAAGCTCTTTAATTCCGTCCTCCATG